GTCTTTCTCGTCAGCTTTGCCCTGTTTTCCAGTTATCTTCAGCCTGTCTCTCTGAGGCTCCCGCTGCCTTTCCCTGCACCACCGTGCTTTCTCAGTCCCTTTGTGCCATTGCCACACGTTCTTTTCACCTTGTGGCTGCTGCTCCTTTCCCCTCAGCCTGTTGTATAAGGAATGGGTGGGGTTGGTGTGGGCTGGACGGTCTTGGGAGCAGAGACTGCCTCTCATCCTGCAGCAGATGTTGGCCTTGGGATTGGCGACGAGTTTGTCTCTGAGTGGCAGCTCTGCTGCTGTGCCCTCCCTCCGCTCTGCTGATGCCCCAATGGAAGTGCGGTCTGGGCACCTCTGGGGAGTGGTGCCTGGGTGCTGTGTTGCCTGGACCCTGTAGGCACGCTAGAGGGCGTTCCTGAGATAGGTTTCTCACCTGTCCTGAGTCCTGCTGGCAGTTTGAAGTTTTTTCTGTAAGGTTTTTTCCAAACAAGGAGCTTGAGCCATTGGGAGTGGATGGGGGTATCTAGGGAAGCTGAGCCTGCAAGCCCCAACCCCAACCGCTGTGTGCAGGAAGAGACTTGTAGTCCTTCCAGAGTATCTCAGCTCTTGGTTTGGCTGGGGGTGGGGCGGGCTTCCTTCTCGGCCAGGTGGCAAGGTCTCCTTTCTCTCGGAGATGGAAGACTGGGTGAGGGTCAGACTTCCAGGCAGGTGGCTACCCCATGTGCATCTGGAGGACAGAATGAGGTGGGATGCCCAAACAGCCCAGGCGCTGCAGGCAGCGATCTGGTACAGGGCTTGGGACCCACCTCTGGGAATCACAGACCTGGGTTCTCATCTCCTTGCTCCCACTCCCACATGCGCTATCATTTCATCCAAGTTCCTCAGCCTCCTTGGGCTTTCATCTCCTTGTCTGCACAGGTGAAAATCACGCACATCTGTTCTTTAACCAGCTTAGATCTGTCAAATACCTCATTTGCTTGGAGAAAGGAGCTAGGGAGGGCAAAACTGAATGAGAACAGGCCTCCCCGGAACACCCACCACCACACGCACCTCTCCCCTTCCTCTCTTTTCCCTGCGTCCCACAAGCATCTGAGTGCCTCCCTTGAGGCAGGTGCCATCCCCCGTTGGCGGTGTGCAGGCATCTGCCACTGTGTTTGGATGTGAAAGTTTGCTCCAAGCCGTTTGCTGTCTGGCTGGAATGCTCTTGGTGATGTTGAGTGTCACCTCTCGCCGCGCTTACCTCTTACAAACCTACCAGTCAATGAGCTCTTGAAGTTGAAAGTGATTTGGTATCAGCGAACTGGCTGTCAGGGTGGTGAGTGCTCTGGGAATGGCGTGCTGTGGGGGGACTGGGGAGTCACTCTGCAGCTAGTTGGTAGACGTGTGTTTGCATGTGCCCATGGAAGTAGAAACAGCTTCATTTTTCTTAGGCTCTTGTCATTCCTTAGTCCAGATTGCAGATTATCTCAATCAGACCTTGGAGCCAGACCATTCCCGCGGCTAGAAATGACCACAAGAGTGAATCTGATTAGTCACAGAAACAGATGGGTGTAACCCCAGAGCCGTGATGATTTTCTTTAAGCTTCTCTAGCCTAAACTCTTTGGAGGGAGATTAGTTCAGGTGTTTTCAGGCTGGGCCCATGAACCCTTAAGGCCCTTGGATAGACTTTAGGAGAGGTCTGTGAACCTCTATCATTTGTAGTCAAAATTCTGTATCTCTGCATTTTTCTATGAAGAGTATCTATGGCTCTCATCAGATCTCCAGAGGGCTTATAACTCAAAACAGTTTAGAACTTGTAACTGATCAAGATGCTCCTATAAAGAGCCTGTTTGCATTTTGCAGCCCAGGTACAAAAGAACCTATATGTTAGGGGTGATGTACTGAATCTCTAATAGTGTGTAGATATGGCAGAAATTCCTATTGTGACTCATTGGTAAGTCATTTCCATGTGAATTGGATATCATATTTTAAATGTCTGCCTACATGTAAGTGCATCCACCTAGCTTGGCCTTCCCAGTTTTATATGAGATTCTGTTCCCAGGAATTCCTCATGCCCCCAACATATTGGGGTTCAGCTTTCCAGAATGAAATAGCCATTCGTCGGAGGTGTGGGCACTCTTGATGAAACGCTGCCTATTTAGACTGTGTCCAGTCCCTGTAGGAGGGCTGTGGGAGGTGTGATTTCATCTCCTGGAGTCTGGATTTTGAGGCTCTGATATGTATGCCATGGTGCTTTTTTTTTTTTAATTGCAGTTTCAGACTGAGGCCGTCTGATATCCCAACATGACTGTGTTAAGATAGGTTGGTGATAAATTGTGTCCCGAGAGTTTTTGTCCCAATCTTGAGAGAAGAGATTGGTAAGGACTCATTGATCCTTTCATCCAATGAATGTTTATTAAATGCCAATTATGTTCCAACAGAATTCAATATGGAGGTTGTATATGAAAAGCAAATGATCATTGTGAGCATTTGCTCATAGGTTCTTAGGGGAGACAGATGTGTAAACAAATGATGATGGCACATGGGCTGTACTAGACATTTGAGTCACTAGGGAAGCACAAAAGATGTTTAGTGTTGCCCAGGAAGGCATGAGGGCTTTCTGAAGTAAGTGACATTTTATTTGAGACCTAAAGCATGGGTGGGAGTTTATTAGGCAGACAAGAAAAGAGAGATCATCTAGTTATGATTTGGAGTTGGACATACATGGGTTCAAACGCTGGCACTGCCACTTTCTGGCTCTGAACTTGAGCCTTTCCTAGTCAGTTTCCTCGTGAATGAGGGCAAGAGCGTTGACTGTGCGTGGTCATTGTGAGGATTCAATGAGATAAATGCCTGGTGTACCTAGGTGCTCACTGGACACTCGCTAGGCGGGGAAGGTGACAGCACGGACCTGGCACCACCCAGGGCACTATGACTAGTTTGGCATGAGCGTGGGTGCAATGGGCATGGACAATTGGAGGCAGATGATGGACCTGGTGACTTAAGTGGGACCTGACATCCTTGGACAGCCTAATACAGTGTTAGGATTATGTGGATACTGGGGACATTCGAAGGATTTTATGATATCATCAGATTTGCTTTTGAAAATGTACTCTCTGGCTTCAAGGCAGACAAAGAATTGATCATTTCCTTATTTTGTACCATCTTTGACACTTTTTACATATCTTTTTTCCCCCACTAGACTATAAGCTTTTTAAGTACAGGGGTAGTGTGTTTTTGCCTTCTGGGCCACAAAACTCCTAGCATCTAGCATATTACTTAGTATAGATGATTGATGCTCAATAAATACTTGGTGAATAAACAAATAGGGGAGGGTAAGTACAGCTGCAAACTAAAGATGAAAATTGAAAGGCAGGTAAAAACTGATAACAAGAAACAAACTCTTGTCAGATTTAGGGAGCTAAATTGATATGTCTTATAACTAGTTGAATGGGAGGTGGACGAGGAGGAGTGGGTCGGATGAATGTCTGCATGGGTGACGGGGTTGCTGGAATGTCATTCATTGGGAGAGACACAGGAGGTCAGAGTCAGAGGCCATGTACAGAGACGGTGAGGACCTTCAGTGAGTCATGCTGGCTTTGAGTTGCCCATGAGACATGCAGGCGAAGGTGTTAGGGAACAACTGGAAATGTGTCTGAGGTTAGGAGGACAACAGTTGTACACATATGTGTACGGGAGGTGCAGGCATACCTGCAAGCCGCGGTCAGAGCATTCAAGACTGGATCAAGTCACCGTAAGAAAAAAAGTTCTGTGTGGGAATGGATGGTAACTAGACATTGTGGTGACCATTCCACAATATATACATATAGCGAAACACGTTGTACACCTGAAGCTAATGTGATGTGTCAATTATATCTCAATTAAAAATAAGAGACTAGGTCAGGAACTTCTGTGACCCAGAGGAACACCTAAAGACAAGGGAGTTGAGTGGAGAAGAGATTGTGGAATGTGAGACTTTTGAACTGAGGCTTTCTTCAGAGGGGAGTCTGAACTTGTGGGCTTTGTAGAGAAATTGAAAAGGTTTGGTAGACTGAACAGAATTGCCAGATAGTTATTGTACCTAAAAAAAGGTAGCAGAACAGAACTGAAATTTAGAACTACCACTACCTAGGGTCTAGATTTAAAGAATATTTTAACACAACCTTTGAAAACACATGTTATAAAAAATTAAAAATTCAGTATATTTAGCTGTTTTTAAACTTACCATGTTGCCCTTATTTCTCTCCGTTATCCACGGATCCACGTAAATACTTCATGACACACCAGCGCCTGGGTGCCCCGAACAACAAAGGTCACTGGGTTTAGTCCGGGAGGACTCAGTGCATTTACTGACTAGCTCTGCACCCAAGACAGATGGAGCTTGAGCTCTTAGGTTTACCTGATGATGGCAATCTCATATCTGTTACGTTAAGAGAATATACTAGATACATAAGGGCCTGAAACACCTTTGAGCATTTTTATTTTTCCCCAACCTTAAGGCACTGATGAGCAAATATCCTGATGGGAGGAAATGAAACTTCAAAATTCAACCCATTAGCTGCAGTCTGCTACATCCAAATAAACCTGTCTTTATTGGCAGGGACAGTAGCAATAGGTTCCAAAGGCACTATTTCTGGGCACCTGTCATGCAAACAGGAAGTTTTTTGTCTCCACAAAGGATGGTGACAGATATTGGATCCTTTTTCTGGATAACTTTTGGTGTTAAGACTAGACTAATCAAGAAATACTTACCACAGACAGAGGTTAAATGAGAATGTTTATCATTCCTCATTAGTAGATTGAAAACTAGGCATAAGGATTACAAATTTATGTTCACTTTGAAAAACAAGTACTGTGTCCTTCTGATTGTCCCTCTCTTATAGATAGGACTTAGTGCTTTAAAATTTATGTTAGAATTATTTAATATAATTAATGCCTGTGTCTTATCTTCCTTATTAGATTATAAGCTTCTAGAGACCAAGGAGGAGATTACACTTATCATTAAAATATCATCATGATTTGCCCGGGTCATGAATATATTAGGCACTCAATACAGTTATTGTGGAATCAATAAATAGCTGACTGATCTAACAGAAATACCACAAAATATAAAAATACCAAAATATCCCCAATGAAACAGGAAAATTAGTATCTTTGTTTAGGTAAAGGAGAAAATGTAGATTAGGAGGCATAGAAGCGGATGGAGCCTATGGTTCTTGCAACAGGTAGTGGTGGTCTGGGGACACTGATTGAGAATAATCATAATAATGTTTAAAATATATTGAGCACTTTTTTGACATTATATCATGTGTTGGTCATTGATTCCTGCTAACAACCTTGGGGTTGTTATCATCGCCTTTTCATAAATGGAGTTGAGGCTTAGAGAAAAGGCAGTTACTTTCTCAAGGTCACATAGCTGTTAAGTATGGATTTGAACCCAGTCTAATGCCAGAGTCTCTGCGCTAAAGCACAGTGCACACCTCTGAGACTGGTGTCAGGCCCGAGTCGGATAAGAATGTGTTTTTTTCTAGGCTTGGTATATCAGAAGCAGTTTCTCTGCTGCCAACAATAGTTTCTTGTCTTGTCCTTGGCCAGGAGATTTTCACGGCTCAAGTGAGTTAACACAATTCCTCTATTTGTTCATGATACTTTTTATATGTAACTTAGTTGAGAAAGGAGAAATCTCCCATTGGTGGGAGGCGAGCAAGAAGCAGCTGGCTGTGGGTGTATGGTGCTCCCTCCCTGAGGAAGCCTGAGTTTATAAGCACCCTCCTGGGTGCCCGACACCATCAGCCACCCTGAATTTCTCCTGAAAATAAACCAGGAATGAGCAGGGAGAGGTCATTGGAAACCTGCCTTGTTTCTTCCATCTGGCAGAAGAAATGTTTTCTTTCATTATGCATGTAATTAGAGTGAGTGAAATCAGGCAGGCCCCCTCTCCTGGTTGGGGGTGGGTTTCTGAGGTGCGTGTGTTAGGCCCTCCTGACAAGGGGGCTGTTACCTCCTAGGGGCCACCCTTCTGCCTAGCAGCAGAGAGAGTTGTGATCCAGGACGCACTGCTGAAGGAGACAAGCAAACCAGCATGGTTGCGTCAGGCCATCATGTGTTCAAATGGCATTGGAGGTGGAGGGGAAGGTAGGATGGAGAGAGGGAGTCCTCTTTGGGATTTCCGCTGGCAGACCGAGCAGGGCCAGGGAAACCCCAGTCTCCTTTCATCAAGCCAGGAAGTCTCCATGGAGAAGGGATCTCGGGAGCTGCTTGGGAAGAGGGAGTCAGCTTAGCTGGGTTCTGTGCTGGGGCGATCAAGGGAGACAGTTTCATCCTGGCCTGGCTGAGAAGGAGAGGTTCCTGGGCTAGAGTGAGGTGAGCGGGTTTGTGGATCCCAGGCATGTAAAGGCTTTACCTTTTAGCTTTTCCTCTTTGCACCAGCTGCCACCTTATCTCACAGCAGGAGCAGCTACTAGCAGTAGGAAGAGAGCTAGACCTCCCCAGATCTCGGTTTCTGCCTCCCTTAAATGTGGTTCGGCCATACCTCACCGGCCTCAGTGAGACTCACATGACACGATGTAGGGGAGACCACCTTAAACTGTGGAGCGGACAGCCACCTGTGAAAGCCCCTGCCAACCCCTCCCCCACCCCCATCCTGTTTTCCTCCCTCCCCAGGCAGTGGTGGAGCCGCTGGGAGCACGGTGGAGCCTCCTGGAGCTGGCTTTGACCTTGTCCATCCTGTTGGTTGCCTGGAGAGAACATTCTGGATTAGCAGATTGTGAAGGAGGGGCAAAGATGGGTGGGGGTCAGGGGATAAGCCTGTCCTTTTTTTAAAAAAAAATAAAAACACAAAAACTCCAGCACCTTCAGTATATCCCTTGTGTCATGGAGGCAGAAGGAAGCACTCTTGAAACGGACAGAGCCTCTTTCTTGGACGCCACACAAGCCTCCCAACCTCAGCTGCCCTGCGGCCTGGGCTGCCCTCCCCACCCCTCCCCGCAGTGGACCGGTGTGGCTGCGAGGCGGGGGTGTGCACGTGGGTCCCCCTGTTAGGAGGGGAGGGGAGGGCTCTGGAAGCTCCCAGCTGGGCGCTGACACAGATGAACAGACCAGAAGGCGAGGCCAATGCGAGCAGCCCACACTGTCACCCCAGAGCCAGTGACTAATAGTGGTAGAGGGTGGGGAGGGGAGAGTGCCGAGGGGGGTGGGGACAGGGAAGCCGTGGAGAGCACCTGAGCGGGTGCAGCTCTGGCCATCTGCTGTCCCCTCACACAGGCTTTAGTGACTGCAGTTTGGAATTTGGAGGAGGATTCTGGCTGGAGGACCAGGAGGAAGCTTGTTGTTAAAATGGAGTGTTTAGGAGACTGTTCCTCCCCCCCACCCCCTTGCTTGCTTTCTGACCTCCAAAAGGCTCCTTAAATATAACACCCTCAGCGCCTGACGACGCGCCTGCTCGGGCTTGGAGCTCTGATTCCCCAGCGTGGGACTGCAGCTCTGCTCTGCCCCAGTTTTACCGGCTCCTAGAGGCACACAGCTCCAGCCTGGTACTGCGGCTCTCCTCTCCTCCAGAGAGGGGCAGAGGGAGAGCAGCACAGAATCCAAGACCTTGCAACAGAAGGACAGCCTCAGGCATCATGTCCCCCATCTCTTTGCTGCTCCCAATAGGCTCTCAGGGACGTCCCAAGGTCATGAGGAGGTCTGCCCCTCTGGCAGTGGAAAGAGCCACCCTTGGGGAGGTGGGAGTCAGGGAGGCTGAGTTCTGCCCTGGGACCACAGCTTCCAGATTTCCTTTGGCTGGGGGCCTGGAGTGTCTGCTTACCAGCAGTGTGCTCTGGTTCAAAGACCTTTCACCCTTCTAGTCCTGCTTATGCATGAGGCAAGAAGCGCCAATCATGTTTTCCTTGGACTGGGAGAGGAAGAGTACCAGGGCGGTGAGACAGGCAGGCTCCTAAAAGGCTGTGACACTGTCAAAACAGCTAAATCAAAAAGAAACTTTTTTTTTCAGCCAGCATTCCAAACCCTGCAAATTTGGAAGATACCATTGTAGCAAGAGGCCTAGAGCAATACAAACCAACCTTACGTTAATCCAACCTCGGAAACGCAGCAAATTTTGGAATATCAGTGAGCCTGGGAAGGCCCATTTTTTAAAATTTAGGATTTGTGAAAATGAAAATTATGCAAACCATTGTCGTAGTCCATCCTTCTCCAGCCACCATCCTGCCCTTTCAACAGATCTGTTCACAAAACCCAAAGGAGAAGAGGGGTGTCAGGCATTGTCTGATTTTTTAAAATTATTTTTTGTTAAAGTACACAGAAAGAAGAAACAACAGACACCGTATACTTTTCTGTCCTGCTGACCCCACGGTCTTCCTCACCCATCAGAGGGACTGCCTTTCTCAATGTTGCATTTGCTATCCCTTTGATTTTTTATTTTATGAATATGGGATATCGATCTGTACAGATAGCTGGGTATTCTGTATCTATGTGGATATAAAATACCTATCACGGTCTGTGTTCTGTAGCTATACAGAGGATACATGCAACCATGCTGGGCATTTTTTTCACTATTTGCTTTTTCCATTCATCATTTTTCTTGAGATTCATCTAGTTTGTGGCACATGACAGTAATTTATAAATTTTGCATATGCTGCTGTTATATCAAATCCCACTTTAAAAAATAACCACAGTTATTTGTTCTTTCTGCTGTTGATAGACATTAGTTTTATTTCCAGTTTTTTTTGGTTTGTTTCTGCAAATCATGTTGTCACCTATAGCATTGTATGAAGTTTCTCTTGTATGGCCCTTAATGTGAATTTCCTCATCACTGGGGTCATTAGTGAGGGGATGCATTTCTTCAACTTTACTACATAATACCAAATAGTTTTCTTAGGTGGTTGAACAAAACTAGCTCTTTTTCAACTTTGACATTGTTGGACATTTCAGTTTTGCCAATGAGATGAATATGAGATAGCATCTTTTTCGAGTTTAAATTTGCATTTTCATGAGTACTAGCGAGGGTGGGTACCTTTTCATTTATTTATTGATCACTTGCTTTTCTGAAAGTGCTTACTCAAGTCATTTGCTTATTTTTCTAAGTGTCTTTCCTCTTCTTATTGATGTGTAGAATTTTTTTTATAAATTCTGTGAACAGTTCCTTTTTCAATTACATATTTTGCAATTTTCTTCTACCAGATAAGCCCCATCTTTTTCCCTTTCTTTGAATTTATTCTTCTCCTTTCTGGTCATTGTGTTCTGTGAATTGTTTAGGAAATCCTCAGGCAATCTGTGTGAGAATCAGTTTTAATTATGATTTATCATTATTTCTTCTCCTTCATTTACTACCAAGGCTTAAGACAGGCAAATTTCCTTCTAGTTCTTCAGTAGCATTGGTGAGTTCCTTCCAAATTCATCCTTAGGATGAGGGAACAGCCATCAGGGCCCACTTTATGAGAACATCTCCCCTTGTACTGCTCACTTAGTGGACTTTTATGTTGTCTCTTATCCACTGTGTTCTTTGAGGCCACGAAAACCGAAGCCTGTTTCACAGGTTCTGGGTTCTGTAAATGTCGTCTATAAAAACTGCCTCCACAAGGCTTTCCTTAATTTTCTGGATTTCTGCCCTCACTAAATTTGTGGCCTCTAAAGATTCTTTGCTGCTGTGCTAGCTCATCAAACATTTTAAAAGAATGTCTTTCTTTTTTCTTTCTTTTCCTTTCTAAATGTTTTATTTTACCCAGCATTTTAAGTTGTTTTTAACAGTAAGGTCTGTCATGCTATCTAGTCTACCATAGTGCCAGAAATGGAAGTCTTCAGAATTTAGTTTTTTTCTAAAAATTCTTGCCCTCCCAGAAATACAAATATCAAGGAGCACCCAGATTGCAGAGCCAAGCAAAAGCAGACTGTGTCTGCCTGGTCATGAATCTGTACATCCACCCCCAGAGAACTCTAGAATTATGTCAGTGCTGACAGTTTACCAGTCAGGGAACTTTTTAAGACACACCAAACAGACTGCTCTCTGTAGAAAATCAAAGAGGGAAAATACATTGAGTGAGGAATACTTCTTCCCTTTGCTTGGTCTTATTCTTTAATTTACTGCAGGGAAAAACAGGGATCCCACGGCGCTTTAGAGCCATCTTTGAATTGTATTTTGAGAGTTTTCTTTAGGGACCACAAAAATGGATCCAGGTTCCCAAGCCCTGTGAGGATGCTGGTTTTGGAAAGAAGAAAAATCCAAGGGGGAATTTGAGGCAAATGATTGTCTCCCAACCAACCTGGCCATCCTTTGTCCTTCCCTTTTCTTTTTCTTCACATCACTCACTCGGCAGCATCAGAAAAAAGTTGGCTTGATTTAGTCTTTTGTTGTTGTTATCTGTTGCCTGGATTCTTTTTGTCCTGGGAGACTGGGGGCCCTTAAAAATCAGCTTGTCTGATATAGATTTTTTTGTATGCATCAGTCGTGATGTAGAGGATGGTTTTGGAGTTGGACATGCCTGCATTTGAATCCCAAGCTTAGAGCTTATTGGTTGTTGGGCATTAGGCAAACCAAGATGGTACATCTTTTCTTTTCAGTTGCTTTACCTCGAAAATAGTGATAGTTACCACTTTATAAAATGTATATGAGGATTAAGTGAGATAATGCATGTAAAATGCTTAGCATAATGCCTGACATAGGGAGCCCTCAGTAAATTCTTACTCGTAGTTTTGAAGGAGGTTTAAGAAAAAAACAGGTAAAGAATAAAAGCTAAAGAATTTCAACATTTCTCATGTGTTTCCAATGTAGTACTTGGAAAGCATTGATCCAGGTTTTATGTGTTACTGGTGGTCTGAGCAGGTGGGGCAGGATGAAAATATTCTCATCTACTTGGAGTAGGCTAAGTAACATTTGTTTAGGGGATCGATGTCCTGGGAGGCCTTTTGAGTGATTCTCTAGGTCATAAAGGAGAATGTTGTGCCTGGAATCCTGTTGTATCCCTGCAATATCTGTACTGAAAGTAGGGCCTTGGTACTGGCTCAAAGAGCTTTAAAAACAACTAGAGATGTGTTCTGAAGAATTGAAAGCCTTAAGGGGCATGGGGGCTGTGTGTAGAGGAAAGTTCCATAGCCTGGGGCTGCTTTGGGACTACTTCTGCAAGCTCAGGATACCTTAAAGAGTATTCCTGCTGGGCCTTCTGGACCTGCCGGAAGAAGAGGGACTGCACTGCTTTAGTTAGGTCTGAATGGAACACTTCCTTCTACTACCCCTGCTGTGTGTAAGCCCTCCAGTTAGCAGAGAGCAAGAACTGCACAGGGTACACAGTCCCTGCCTTCATGGAGTTTACCATCTAAAAAGAGGAAGGCAGGTAGCAAGTAATTTTACAAGTCCAGTGAGTGCTGCCAAAGGGGATCTGCGCTCCAGTCATGAGTATCACTTTATAGAGGGTCAAGGATAGATGCTTTGCATACAGCACCTAAGCAGGTCTGTAGATTGCTTTGGGGCAAGTTACAGGGTAAAGGCTTATGGTTCAGTTGAGGGTTGCTATTTTGCAATTAATCTCCTCTTTGTTCATTCTTGCCCATTCCCGTTGCTGGCCCAGATAGTCAGTGAGCTAGGGGAGGGCAAAACGGAATCCCAGCCAGGAAACCGTTGGGGCTGAAACTCACGGCTGGCTTAGAGGATTTCAGGAGGCACCCGTGCCCCCTTTCCTGTGCATTTTCTATGTTCAAGTTGAAGTTGAAAATCTCAGCCCCTCCTCAGTTTGATGCTGTGCCTGGTCTGAATCTCCTTGGAGCCCGCAGTTGGTGATAAAAGAGTGTTTAAATCCCACACCTGGCCTTTGTGGCCACCTTAAAGGGATCCCTGCCCCAGGTGACTTGGGGGCGCTGCTGGGCCACCGGACGTTGCTGCCTCACCCCCGCGCGTCCCATTAGTCGCGGTTGAGGCAACTTTCCCAGTAGGGAAGGGAACTGTGTGTTCTGTGTGCCTAAAA